GCTGTCACCTCAGTGGCCCCTCCAGAGGCCACAGAAGCCACAAAGCAGTGAGGTTGGGAGTTTTTGTGCTTGATTGACACCATTAAGGGAGCAGTCTCATATGTTTACTCTGGAAACAGCCACAGCAGTTTAAGGTGTCACTGCTGGCACCTGTTTAGCTTAAACAAACTTCAGGGAGGGTTTAGCTGGATGGAGAGACTTTGCACTTCAGAGGAGGGAGAGCAGCTGTAGGAAACATTCTGTACACAGGGTCAGGAGAAGATCTCCAGCAAAAGCCCATGAACACAAGGTCCTGGAGGGCTTCCTACCTCACTGACACTTCTGCAGTGAAAAACATGGTCTAAGCTGAAGAAAACTCCCTTCCAGCACCACAAAACCTTGGGCTGACCACTGATGATCCACCAAGACAATCAGTTCTTCATGGCCAGACTGACTTAGCGAAGCCAGAGCAGCTCTGTAACATTAGCCCAGCTTGGATGCTGCCTAATTTGATGAGCTTTACAGGAAAACAGCCCTGACAGCTGCTGCATCAGGGTCCTCACATGCTGTGGCAGCTCTGCCACATGATCAGGATGGTGTAGAGATGAAGAAGGAGTAGAAATGCTCCTCTTGCATGGACACAGCTATTCTGGTCCCCACTTCTCTCCCAGCTCTTGCCCATCGCCAACAGTTCCAGCTTTATCTCTCCTCCACGAACACTGCCCAGTCAGCTCTGGGGCCTGCTCTTGTCTAGCCTGACAAACATCAGCTTTGGAGCCCATCCTCAGACCTGCTGCTGCACTTCAGACACTCTGAGGTTGCTTGTATTGTGGGGAAGAGAAATAAGGAGGATAAGAAGACAAGAAGAGCGTATGTTCCTCGACATCCACTACCAGCTGTTAGCTCCAAGTGTCCACAGCAGACCTTGCTGGTGGACTGAGCTTGTCCACCACTTGTCCAGACCACATGAACCAAGTGCCATTGGATTTGGGCTCTCCCACCACAGAACCTGGCCTACAGAGGAACCTGAGGCTGCACTTACACGTAGACCTGCATGATCCACACCTAGACCAGCTGTGTGATGAGTCAGAAGCTGGACAAAGACTACCAGAGAAGTCTGGGATGATGGCTGGGAGAAACCCACACCATTTCCCATATTTCAACATGACCAGACAAAAAGATTCACAGAAGCATCTGAAGAAAAGGAAATGCCTGAGGGACAAGAAGCCCAACTTCCTGCAGTGGATGAAGTTGTCCCCACATGTCCACGACCTGGAGACCAAGGAAGCTCCCATTGTCTGCTCCAAAATCAGCTACATCCCGTAGACACGCCGCCTTCATCTCATGGAAGATGCAAACCCCATGTTTTTTTCCATCTTAAAAGTTGCCAGCACAGCTATTATTTATAAAACTTGAAGGAGAATACATCTGCACAAAATAACTGACACCGTGTTCCCCGTGTGGCATATGCAGTCTCAAAATAAACATTGGTTCTATATGTTCACTGCTTCAACAGAGCGTCCAAGCAGCAGGAAATGCATGAAACATGGGGAAAGAATGGAGCTGAGCAGTGGGAGGTAACATGGAATCACTTGGAGAGCAGAGAAGGCGGCCCTGGGAGTTAAAATACACAGCAGGCAAAGAGATGAGAGAAGCCAAGAGAGCTGAAAAAAATGGCACAAGAGACGAGAGAGGCAGCTGGGGGAGTTAAAACATGCAGATGGAGAGATGGCTGAGAGAAAGGAAAGACCTGGATCCAAGAGGAAAGACAACGACGACCAGGAACTGGCCACTTAAAATCAACTTTTGAGTACCAAGACGAAAACGAGGGAGTCGTTTTTCCAGGAATCCAGAAACCCACTGCTGGGAGCAGGTCCCTTGCTCCTGGGGTGGCTGAAGTCCCACCCAAGGCCAGCAGTGTCCCCTGCTCCCACCCGGCCTCCCCCGAGGCAGCAGCAGCACCACAACCCCGGGTGGAAACGACTCTGCAGAAGATCCAGGCTGGGACATCTGCCTCCAGATCTCCAGCCTCCAAATAATGAGCCCTCACTCACCTGATTCTCATGGATAGGCTCTTTAAGGAATCCTGGAAGTAAACAGGTAATGCCCACCTGGATGTGACTCCCATGACTGACACCCCAGTCTAACTACAACCAAATTAGCAAAGTTCAACTTCTCACCAAATGCTCCAAGTTGATGGTTGGTTGTTTCTTTTTCCAAAATGAGGTTTCACCTCTGGTCTTCAATAACCACTTTCAAAGATCTGTGAGTTGAAACTTGGACTGGAAACCCCTTGGAATTGCTCAGAATTCCTCAGACAGGGATGCTCTCCATCTCAGGTGGATGCTTCTGTGTCCCACAGTGATATCACCACCTCCAGCTGCGTGGTCAAACTGCTCCCCAGTCCCTATCCCTGCTGTTTCTCACTCACAGGCTTCCAGGAATCCCAAGATATTTGATGGGAAATGAACCAGCAGGCACAAAGCTCTAAGCAGGCTAAAGTAGTGCCCAGATAGTTTTATACAGAATCATAGAATAGATTAGGTTGGAAAAGACCTTTAAGATCATCAAGTCCAACCATTCCTCCAGCCCTGCCAAGGCCACCACTAACCCATGTCCCTCATCCCAACATCTACATGGATTTGAAATCCCTCCAGGGATGGGGACTCAGTTATTTCTACAGAGTTTCATTTGGGGGTGATGGGGAGGGAACCTCACCAACCTGAGCTAAGTCTGTCTATTCAGTCATTTTGACTTTTTGAAGACCATCTCCTGTATGTCCACATTTGCTCAACAGATAAAATTAGTTCTGATGAGCACAGGTGTGTTTGGTACAACTCACATCAAACAAGAAGTTACAGTGCCCCCAGGTATGAAGCAAACTTTACAGTTTTAGCTAAGCTTGTGGTTGCTCTGCAGGACCCATGGTGGTCCTCAGGGTTTCTTGATGGAGACAATAATTCAGAGACCAATTTTCTACAAACTTTGCATTTTTTGCACATGAAGAATTCTGTCTGTTCATGCTGCTCACTCACAAAGATCCTCTGAGTGACAGCAATGAAACAGTTTGTCTTCTGGGGTAGATCTTTCTTGGATGAGCTCATCACCAATGTATGGTTAGACCAGAACCATGTTGAGCCAGTGGTGACATGCAGCCACTCTGGTGTAAACCTCAAGGAGAGAGAAGGGTGAGAAGCAAGAGCTCTGCAGTAAGAACACCACGAATTGGTGGCACATTTCTGAAGTGTCTGGCACGTGGACAGATGAAGACAGAAGTCCTCTAGACTGACAACAGCAAAGCAGATTTGATGGGATCAGAAAGGCTGGAATCACACGTCTGAATTTGAAGCAGGGAAGCTGCCAGGATGCTGGGATCTGGAGAAGTGACAGTCCCTGCTCTTGCACACGACTTGGAGCAAGCCCTGAGTAGGGTACTCCAGAGGAAGGCACTCCAGAGGAAGGCAGGGTCACACCTGAGCACCTCCCCAGCAGGTCCTGAGGGTCAGTGATGGGCTGGGGGACCCTGTGGGGAAGGAGGAGGGAAAAGGCTGCAGAGCTTTTGTCCAGGAGGAGCATGAAGTGAAAATCAAATGCTTTGCACACAGGTAGAGGGGCTGGAAGCTACCCCTGGTCCTTGTGTGTCTCCAGAAGGTCTCCCAAGAGTGGCTTGCAGAAAGTGTTCCCCAGACTGTGCCCTGCTGCAGGGAACCACCAGGGTCCCTTTGAAAAAGAGAGGAAAAACATCCATTTTGACCAAAAAGGGCTGAAAGGACTTACCCAACAGCTCCCAAACAGAGTTTGTGGCCCTGTTTCTCCACACACCCAGGTCATGGGAGGGACCAATCTTGGTGAGAGCCTCCAGGTGCTGGAGGGGTACAGACTAGATCTCTAGTTTTCAATTCAGATGTTAAAAACAAGACTCCCAAATTTACAGAAGCAACCTTGACCCCTCCCTTAAGGAGAGAAAATTGCCCAAGGGTGTTTCTAGGAGGGGAAACAATGCTGACCAAAGCCATGGGCAGTCCCTAACCCCACTAACTGCTACTTACTCATCAGTGGAGTGATTTGGAGCAGCCATTAGCAACAGGTTTGTTTAAAGAGTGCTTCCAACTTGGCTGTCTGGACAAAGGTAGCAAACCCCTTTAGCCTCTTCATCTTTCAATGCTCTCATCAGTCTCCAGAGGTTGGCAAGGTGATCCCTGCCCCACGGAGCATTCATGCCCAAGGAGCTGTTGATGGGTGTCCTAAGGAGCCACCAGCAGCTCCAAAGGGGCTCACAGCTTCTCTGGGCAGAAGAAAATGCAGTGGTGTTGGAAAGCAAGGTGGGAAACCAGCAGTTTGGGGTATTTTTTGTTATCAAGAGCTTTGCTAGGAGATGACTGGACATGAAATAACAACCTTGCCCTTTCCTGCCCTCTCTCAGGGCACTGATGCTCCATGGAGGTGGCTGCCAGGAGGGACTCTGGTTCCATCAGTGATGGAAAGCAAATTTCTGCAGAAAATGTGATGCCTGATTGTTCCAGGGGAAGCCCAAACCACAGGGTGTTATTGAAAGAAAGTATCAGGGAGTTGAAACTGGGAGCAGGCAAGTTCCAGAGTGGCCAAGGTGGTCTGGATGTGACATGTGGCCAGCAGGTCATTGCTGATGCACATGAGCCAACACCTTCAGGCTGACCCCAAGAAGCAGCTCTAATGTTTTCTAAAGGATGGGCTGAAAACCTATGGACACTTTTCCACTGACTTCTGGGAGTTTTGGCTCACCCTGACCTACAGAACAGGGTTCTTCAAACTGCTGGGCCCTCAGAAAACTATTTAAAACAACCATATCAACATACAACCAGCAAATGTAGCACTTGAACAGCCTCCAACCATGGTCAAAAATGATGGAAAATCAACATTTTAATGAGCAAAAAAAAAGCCTTAAATGGACCAATGCTAAGAAATATCAACAAATGACACCTACTGAGGATCTTTTCTCCCTTCCCCTTCAAAAGCCCCACTTCATGTTACCCAGCACTTACTTTTCCAGTACAGACATAATAATTGGAGGTAGAACCAGTATAGGCATTGGCAGGACCACTCTAGTCAGGGCTGTTTCTAGCAGTGCCTGAGGAGGAAACACAAACAAACAAACCCAGCTCAGCTGTTTGGATACAACTGATTTTTGCTCCCGTGGGGCTGGAGCTCCTGCTTGGTCACTCATCTAGTGCAATGAACAGAGATCCCAAGTAACTTCCCTGGTTTCAGATGATGTGACCAAAAGTAGCTCCAGTATCTCATCATGTTCCTGTGCAAACATGTTAGTGCTGCCTGGGGGGAGAAAGAGAGGCCAAGCAGCTGCCTGGGAGATGCTGGAAGGTGGAACTGCTCTGCTCTGGTGAGACCTCCCCACAGGGCTGGGTCCAGCTCTGGGGTTCTCAGCACAAGGACATGGAGCTTGTGTCCACAGAGGAGGCCATCAAAATTATCCTCTTCAACCACCTTTGCCAGCACCCACCTGGGATGTCCCATGCATGGGTCTTGGGTAGACATAGGTGGAGGGTACTATAGATTTTGGTTGGGAATGCTGAAACACCTGCCCATGGTCAGGCTTGGGAGCACCTGATCCTTTCAAACAGGGGAAGGTCTTGGAGAGGTGCAGATGGGTTACACCCAGGACTTGCTAAATTTTCCACACCAAAACCCAGTACTGAGCTTCTTCGGGGAAAAGCATCAAGATTAGATGACAGCTGAGCAGAAGTTCTCAGAAGTCCCAAATTTGATGCTTAAAGCTCCACCTCAACCCCACTGCCAGTGCCTTCCTTTTAATACTGATTTCCTGGGTTGTCTGTCTTCCCCTCGACCACTAGGACTGGGGAGGAGGGAGAAGGTGGGTCCTGAAGCCAGTCAGTGTAAGTGAGAAAAACTGGCTCAAGTAAGTGTCTCCAAGCCCTTCAACAGACTGTTTGAAGCTCCCAGTTAAACAACAATATGGAGAGATATTAGAGATCTCCCATTTCTTGCCGAGGACTGTAAATCTGTACATTAATTGCTGTCTGTGAAGTGCCTTGAGAGCCTTGGACAGAAGGAGTGAGAGAAATGCCAAGCATTATATTATTAACTCCTCTGCCTGGGCGTGTGCTTTGGTACATGCTTTACATTTCAGATGAAAGCCCACTTGGAAACAACATGTCTCAGATGAGGCTCAGAAGACAAAACTATGGAAGCAGAGTAGAAAAGGGAATCATTTCAGGCAGATGGCAGAGTGTGGAAGGTTACAGGGGAGATGAGACCAGGTGTTAGGATGAGGAGACAAACATCTGGCCACCCTCACAAAGCTTTGGTTGGTGGTTGTTAGTGCAGTTTTGTCATAGCAAGGGTTAACAAGCTGGGAAATGAAGTCTTCCTCATTTAGAAAAAGGTGGAAGGAATCTTTGCTTGGTATTCTACAGGAACTGTTTGCAAGGTTTCACAAAGATATCCTAAGGCTGTGAATGTATCAGGGTAGTGCAGGATCCTCCTGATGTCCATCTGCGCCCTCCCAAACCTTCAAGGTCAGCCCCCAAATTTGCCTTGGTGACACGAGATGGTGTCCACCAGCACACCTGGGTTGCTGGCTACCCAGCTGCATGTCTGGCTACAAAGCAGGCATTACATTTTGTTGCTCTGTTCTTCCTGCATGATGGGTAAAGCTCATCTATTTGCAGCTCTTTCATTGATTCTACTGAGCCCGCAGGAAAGCTGGGGAGAAACTTTCCACCACAGGGTGTAGTGACAGGACAAGGGGTAATTGTTTTAAACTGGAAGAGGGGAGATTTGGGTTAGATGTTAAGAAGAAATTCTTCACCATGAGGGTAGCAAGGTGCTAGAATAGGTTGCCCAGGGAGGTTGTGGCTGCCCCATCCCTGGAGGTGTTCGAGATTGGATGAGGCTTGTGCAGCCTGGGCTGGTGGGAGGTGTCCCTGCCCATGCAGGGGGGTTGGAACCTGATGATCTTTAAGGTCCCTTCCAACCCAAACCATTCTATGATTCCTACAGGTGTGGGATTTGTTGAGCCAGGAGGTGCACATGCTCACCCAAGCCTTGGGCAGGAACATCACAGGTACCTACGTGTTTTGCAGCAATTCTGGAAGACCCGACAATGTTTCCGTTATTGTCCAAAACATCAATTCCTTCTTCCAGCTCCGTGTGCCTCATCAGGACAACATTGCAGATATTGGCACTAGCTGAGGAGGAGATAAGGATGAGAAAAGCATGATGATTAGCAAGGCAGCCCTGGTCAATACCAAATGGCAGGCTTCTGTTCACCCTGACAGCCCTTCAGCTGTGCCTGCCTCAAGCTGCCAAGAACTTTCTGCAAGTCAAGGAGCCCCTCGTACACCCAGACAAAGATGTGACACTTAAGAAGAGAGTACCAATCAGGATCACCTTCTTTTACCTGCAAAAGGATCTGCTCCCACAATCAGAAACTAACCGAGGCAAAGAAAAACCAGCCATTCCAGATGTTGGTGTCTGAACTCTCCTTCACCCAACACTTCAATCTACTACATCAAGACAGGTCTTTGCTCTGGGCTGTAAGCTGGTCTTGGCCAACCAGGTGCTCCTGATTTGATAGCTGCCTCTTCTGGAGGCACATCCTAGAGCTCCTCTTCACTCCCCTTATTAAGCCAGCAGACAAACCCTTCCCAAGTACCAGATCTGAGCAGGTAGGATGGAAATAGACTCAGAGGGCTTCGGTGAGCTGTGAAGGACAGTTTCCAGCTGAGCATGTCAAGAGGTCAAAGCTATGGTCTCAAATCAAGTAAGTCAAGGTTGGGTTGCTTTTGTAGACATGTATCCCAGCAGTGAGGGTCCTGCTGACTATCTGCCCTCATTTCACATGTTTTAGTGGAGAAATGGCTCTGGGGGTTTATTTTCTAGAGTTAGACCTTTTTTGTTTCCTTTAAGGATATTTTGTTCTGAACTCTCGACACAAACCAGCAGCTTTGGATGGCCCTGCTTCCCAACTGACATTCCCAGCATCTCAGCCCTGCATTCATGGCAGTGATGGGAGCAGTTCTGGGACCTTTTCTGACACCCCACCCCCACCACCCTTGCCCAGCCTGTGGCTTTTGTAGCCTTCTCCAGATGACCTCAAGTTCTGCTCCTCCAGTAACATGGCAGAGTTGGGGTTGAGGAACATGCAGCTCCTCTCCAGGCACTTCTCTCCAGCTTTCCACAGAAAAGCTGCTAATTCCTACAAAAGTTTTGGTTTTGATAAACTGGCATTTTCCAGCAAACCCCTCCCCCTTTCCCCACCACCACATTGTGTTGCAAACTTCCCAACCAGCCCTATCACAACCCCACGGTTGCTGCAAGTACCACTGCTTCCAAAAATGTGTTTCTGCACTGCTTGATGGGTTAATATTCGCTAATTAATCTCAATTCATGTCATATAACAAATGTCTAATTTTTTGAGGGTGGTGGGTGGGTGAGCCCTATAGGAACACAGCTCTCTGCAATCAAGGATGATTTGTGGTGACAAATGCTCCTTACACTCAAGAATAGGAGGAACATACACACACGCACACTCTGTCTCTCTCTTTAATATTCCAACTACCGGACCACTCTTCCCATCTATCAAAATATCAACCCTTCAGCTCCCTAATCCAAGATGACAAATAAACCAGGCACTTCATGTAAAGCAAGTTTAAACCCTCTTTTTATTCTCTCTTTTCACACTCCCATGCCCCGTCCTTCTCGCCAGACTGAACACCAGGAGAGATGCTCTGGGCTGAGCCAGGAAGCACCAGCACAAGGTTCTTGCAAAGCTCGTGATGGGATGTCCAGGCCTGAAGGTCCCACCACACCTAAATGCTTCTCTATGTCTGTAGATCCTATCAGGGTTTCACTGACCAGGTCCCATATTCAAAATCTGATTCCAGCCCATTAGTCTGAGACAAACACCTGACATCTCTAGTGGGAGGTGTCCCTGCCCATGGCAGGGGGGTTGGAACTAGGTGATCTTGAAGGTCCCTTCCAGCCCAAACCAGTCTGGGATGCTGTGATTAGCTGTTCCTGCTTTGCTTCAGGGAAACATTGAGAAAGCAGAAAATGCTGCTGATTTGCAGTGAACTTGGATTTTATGGAAGTCTTAGACACAGGGGGGGTGAGAAATACATAAATAAATGTGGAGGCAATTGGATTTTCAGAATCTTGGGGAAAAAATGGTGACACTACAGCCTGGAAACAACTTCTGTGAAAACACTGAAGTATTGGAACCTGGGCTCAGACACAAAAGCAGCCCTACTGCCCTACTTCTGTGTGTGAGGCTACAGCCTTTCTAAACCAGGGTGCTCTCCACAAACCAGACACACATTTGTGCACTGCATACGTGTGTTTCACTTCTTTCTTTTAAGCCCAAGGAGAAGAAAAGCTTCCTTCTCTTCACCTCCCTTCCCTCCAATGGGTATCTTTTCTCTTGAATCAGGTTTGGGATTCAAACCTTTAGGAGTTTCTGTGGGTTTTTTAACCATGCCCTTCTGCAGTCTAATCCACCCCACCAGCAGTGACATCCCTTGCCTTCGTGTCTGCCATCCACATCCAGGCCTTGGGAAGAACTGGGCAAACTGGATTCTTCTCAAAAACCCTGGGCATTGATGTCCCTCACCACCTACAACTCCAAGAAAGGGTCAGGCCCCTTCTTGTTCCAATTGGGGAATCACAGCTCTCCAGAACACAGAACTGACACCACCCTTTCTTTCTGCACTGAAAACCTTCCTGGAGAACAACTTCACTGCCCAAATGATCACAGAACCACAGAATCATTCTGGCTGGAAAAGATCTTTAGGATCATTGAGTCCAACCATTAACCCAACTCTACTGATGTGTTGGGGTGACCAACACCAAGCATGGACTCCTTCTCCATCAAGGGGCTATGCAGAGCCTTGGTCATTTCCAGCTGTTCCACCTGGGATGCCTTGTTAGGTCCACCTTCTGGAGCTGGGGAGAATCTTTGGGACAGCTTGTGATTTTCAGCTACTACAAATTGCCTTTGGTGGAGGGTGAGGGTGCAGCTCGACCTCCTGGCACCCTGCCCCAGTGCCACCAGCTGCAACGTGGGGATCAGAGCAACCAGAGCTCTGACTGCCACCTGGTAGCACACTCCCAGTGTGTCAGTGAAGATACAACATATGGAGCATCTCTGAGGGCAGTAAGACCCATAGACCAGTTGTCCCAGTGCCTACCCCAGCTTCCCAAGGCTTTGCAACACTCTCTATTGACATCCCTGCTGGGACCCTGGCTGTTTTTCAGTTGGGCAGCAGCTGCGCTTCCTGAAGTCTCCATCTCTCATTCCTCCAGGGAGACCTCACAGTGGCCTTCCAGTACCTGAAGGGGCTCCAGGAAAGCTGGGGAGAGACTTTTGACAAGTGCTTGTAGTGAGGGGACAAGGGGTAATGGATTAAAACTGGAAGAGGGGAGATTTAGATTGGACATTAGGAGGAAATTCTTCACTGTGAGGGTGGTGAGAGCCTGACCCAGGTTACCCAGAGAAGCTGTGGCTGCCCCATCCCTGGCAGTGTGGAAGGGCAGGTTGGATGGGGCTTGGAGCAACCTGGGCTGGTGGGAGGTGTCCCTGCCCATGCAGGGGGGTTGGAACTGGATGATCTTGAAGGTCCCTTCCAACCCAAATCATTCTGTGAGTCTATGATCCTTTGGGATGAGAGGCCACAAAGCTTTGATGCGTCCCTCCACCTTTCCAGCTATCAACCAGCACAGCTCAGCCAAGGTTGGTGGGAGAGGGAGGCAAGGAAGGGCCAGGGGAAAACTGCTTACTGGGAATGGAACAAGAGCTCTACACCTGTGCCTGGCTTTTCAGACAGCAAAGGTGAAATTCCCCCTTTTTTCCAGGGGCTGGTGGCTCAAAGCAGCAGGAAGATGCATCTTAATTAAACAGTTTGTCCAGGTCTGCAAACCAAAAACTAGCAGCTTTCAAAACCACAGAACAGCAATTAGTGGGAGGATTCCTGATGTCCTGGCAGATAATGAAGCATGAGAGTACACACAGAAAAGGAGAGCTAAAGAATTAATTAGGGGCTAAAGACATGAATCCTGGGTCCTCAGCCAATACTGACACAAGTGGAACCTCCTTCTCCCTACACCTGGGCATGAAAATAGATCAACACGGTTAGACAAAGTCTTCCCACGTGCACCCCTGCCTCAAACCCAGCCCTGGAGCTGCCTCCCAGGTCTTGCACTCACCTCCAGTCTCCTCCTGGTTCTCAACATGAAAAAAAAGTTAAAAACATATTCCAGGAAAGTTCCACAGTGTCCATAGATCCCCCACGAACCAACCAAGTGCTCAAGAACAAGACTGAGAGCAACTTACAGACCACAGTCCCCGTCACCCCCTGCTCTGCAGAAAGGGCAAGTGGCTGCTGTTCTGGCAGAAAAGGGGGAAAAACCCCAAAGGACTCAGGAACTGGAGGCTGGAAGGTCAGAGCAACCAGCTCTCTGTAAAAAAAGGAGCAGACCAACCAGAGAAATGCCAAGATAAAGAGGTTCAGTGGCCTTAAGTGAAGTTCTGAGGATAATGGGCCTTTTCTGCCAGCCAAGGAAAAACCTTCAAGGAAAGTTTTGCATTAAGATGGTTCAAAAGGGACCTGCAAAAAAACCTCTTTGCTTACCAACCTTCTCCAGGCGTGGGAAATTTTTGCATCATCTTTATAAATAAAAAAGCTTGTCTAAAAAAAAAGTCACCTTCACATCCTGGGGATTTCCTCAAAGCTGGAAGAACTGATCATTTACTGAATGTTGTAGTCATGGGCTCCAGCAAAGGCTGAGTCCAGCATGTCCCTCCCCTCAAACACCAAGCAGGTCACTGATGAGCTGCAGGTGGGGGCTTTTTTGTGCTCCATCAAGGCAGCAGCAGCCTTAATCCTTCACATGTGTTGTCCTAGGTGTGATCAGTGGTTCTTGGAGATCTGCACGTTCAGAGCAGGAGCATTTAATTGCATTTTTCTTGTTAAAAACCCTCAGTGTTACCACATATTTGAAAAATTAAATGTTCTTGGCTTTAGATGGGTGAGGAGCAGTCAATGCTGAACATGTTTTAAACTTCAAATACAGAGAAAAGGTGTTATTTCTTACCAACTGCTGGGAATGGCACGAACCTCTGGATCAAGAGACGAGTGGCAGGGGTAAACTTGTTTGCTCTCTGAATCAGAACATTAAGGCCCACCTTTGAACAGAAAACACAGCAAATCAGAGAAGCAGAAACATTTAGCTACAGAGAGCAGGGCAGATGCCACAGCTTGTAGACAGCAGCAGAGCTCTCCATGGGGACAAACTGGGGTCTCTTCCTGTGCAGAAGCATTTGAGAACTAAACCAGCCCACACTGCAGAGGTTTGCTGTCTTGGGTTCAGTCCTCTGTTCAAGGAAGGGTTGAACCCAGCCATGGGGTTGGATCAAACCATCAGGTTTAACTGAAGGGTTGAACCCAACTGTTGGGTTTAAACGAAGGGTTGAACACAATGTTTGGGTTTAAACGAAGAGCTGAGCTCAATGGTTGGATTTAAATGAAGAATTGAACTCAGTCATTGGGTTTAAATGAAGTGTTGAACCCAATTGTTGGGTTAAAATGAAGGGTTGACCCCAACTGTTGGGCTGTACCCAACATTGGGTTTAAATGAATCCAACCATTGAGCTGAACCCAACCATTGGGCTTAAACCCTTTCCAGCCAAAAGACAGGCTAGAAACCACTGCAAAACCATTTGGTCCTTCTGGAAATGTCCTTAGCTGCATTTTCACCCAGTTCACTGGCATTTTCCTCACCTAGCACAAATTCCCCAGAGCTGGGAGTCCTCACCTTGCCAGGAAAAAGCCAAGTATCAGTGGTGATTGTTGCCCTAAACACAATTCATTCCTCCTCCTGGGGTCTGTGCAAGCTACACCACCCAACACTTCATTGCAACGTTTGGGCTACAAAGGAGCTATTACTAGAAGCAAGACAGAGCAGGCAGTTTATTATAACCACAGATCATTTTTTTGGTTGCCTCCTCCAACACTTGAATAATGCAGAGCTCTCCACAGCTTTGCAGGGATCTAAGTCATTGCATATGTTAATATAAACAGCACAGAGGAGCTGCCTCATCAGCCCCAGCGTGGTTGGACAGTGGTGACAGTCAGAGAATTTCCATCAAAATTCCTTTCAAGCAAAACTGGGCTTATTAAATAAACAAACCTAGTGGCAGGGAATGACTTCTGTCATCAGAGTCATCTCCCCTGTACAGATGGTTTCTCTTTTTCATCTAAAAAAAAAACCAACCCCAAACACACCGACCCCAAATGCACCAACAAAACCCAACAGCCCCGAACTGGGAATTTTAGGCCGAGAATGGAAGTCTTTAGCAGTGCTTGGCCAAAAGGTTCTCAGCCAAAAAAATGCAGCAAAATGTAAAAAAAAATAAAAAAAATTCAGCCAAAGCCAAAAACCTGCCAGCAAATATGGGGGCTTGGGGGAAAAAAAAAGAAAAGAAAGAAAAGCAAAGCATGGAGGAACATATTTTGCAAGCTGCTACATTATACATGCACCCGCGGCGTATCTCGGTGTTCTGGAGGCTGAGAGGAAGATGTGGAGAAGCACAACTGCTGGGCAAGCCCTGCAGAAGGAAAGTGCTGGCTTGCAAAACCCAGGGAACAATTCCAGAGCCCCACGAGGCTTTCCCCAACACCCCAAGCAGGAGCCTGTCCTCCTCTCCTTGGTCGCCACAACTCCAGTGCTGAGCCCAAGAGAGCCCTGGTGGTTCTTCTTAGGCTGGGCAAGAAGGAAGGTTTTGTCTTAATCTTCTTCTCCCTCGAAAGTGATGGAATGATTTCATTTTATTTACATTTTACAAGTGCTGGGATATGTATTTGTAAAATCTGAATGCTTCTGGGAAGAGTTTGCCAAGGAAGTTGTGGCTGCCCCATCCCTGGCAGTGTTGAAGGGCAGGTTGGATGGGGCTTGGAGCAACCTGGGCTGGTGGGAGGTGTCCCTGCCCATGGCAGGGATGGGACTGGATGATCTTGAAGGTCCCTTCCAACCCAAACCATTCTGTGACTCTATGAGTCGGTGATTCCTGACAAGCTTTAAGTGGCTTTAAGTGTGAAAATGAGACAGTTTTTAAGCCTGGCTTTGCTGATACTGCCCCACGGATTTCACAGAATCATAGAATCTCAGACGTTGGAAGGGACCTCTGAAGATCATCAAGTCCAACCCCCCTGCCAGAGCAGGAACACCTAGGGCAGATCCCACAGGAACACGCCCAGATGGGTCTTGAAAGTCTCCAGAGAAGGAGACTCCACAGCCTCTCTGGGCAGCCTGTCCCAGGGCTCTGTCACCCTCACAACAAGAAGTTTCTCCTCACATTGAGGTGGAGCTTCCTGTGTTGTCACTTGGTGCCGTTTCCCCTTGTCCTACCACTGAAAAGCAACTGGACCATCTTGACACCCACCCTTCAGATATTTATAGACATCAATAAGGTCCCCTCTCAGTCTTGTCTTCTCCAGACTAAACAGCCCCAGGTCTCTCAGCCTTTGGGTATTTATAGCCTGGATACAGCTCATCTGTGCACATGACGAATTTGGTTGGGTTTGTAGCCTCTGCTTGCAGGTTTGATAGGAGGACTTGACCATGAGGTGGAAGAGCAGCAGCTTTTGAAACAGAAAAGATGAGTCTGGGAGAGACACTGCTGTGAGGCAAGTGGCAATAAAAGCATTTTACTTTCAGATTCAATTTGTGCTGCAGATGAACTCGCTCCTCCGCTTACAGCAACCACCCCGCTGTGAATATGAAATTAAATGTTGCCATAGATTTAAATCCAATCTCCCAAATTTCCAACATGAGGACTGGATTTAGGAAACTAATGAGGCTTTGTTTTTTACAGTTTTGAAATTGCTTTAGCCAATCTGTGAACTCTTTCCTGCAGGTCACGAAGCTGGATGAAAGTAAACAGGTCAAGGAGAGGCTCCACCAAGCAGGTGCTCCTCACCCTCAGACCAAAGGGCCATCAACAAGGAGAGCTTAATGAGTTTAATTCCTAGGGGCAGGCCAAGGAACACTGACTGTCGAGGCAAATTCATCAGGAAGAAAACAACTGCAGGAGTATTGTTGCTATCATCACCCTGCCTACAGCCTGAGTCACAGATCTGGGATCTCCAGCATCGGTGCTGTACAAACACGGAGCAGAGGCAGGTGGGATCTGTCACACCCAGCATGGTGGAATCAGAATTGTTTGGGTTGGAAAAGCCCTTCAAGATCATTGTGTCCAGCCATTCACCCAGCACTGCCAAGGCCACCACTGCCCCATGTCCCTCAGCACCACATCTACAGGGCTTGGAAACCCCTCCAGGGATGGGGACTTCCCCCCCTGCCCTGGGCAGCCTGGGCCAGGGCCTGACAACCCTTTTGGGGAATGAATTGTTCTCAATATCCAATTTAAACCTCCCCTGGTGCAACTTGAGGCTGTTTCCTCTCATCCTACAGGCTCCCTTTGCACAGAGAAATGAGCTTTTATAAGGGTTTTTATTCTCCTCCCAAGACAGGTATTAGCAGGTGCTCACACAAAATGACCCCACAGGGGCCTCATCCCTGCTGCCCATCAAAGGAATCCAGAGATACAGACCAGATGAAGGTATCTACACTGGTGATGTCTCAATTCAGGCAAGACAAGTGTTCCTCCTTGCAGCTGGGAGCTCTGGGCATGGGGGTGCAGCACTGGTTTTGGTGTGGTACTGGTTTGGGATATTCCTGCACTGTGACCCAGGTTAGGGGACAAGCCCAGCTTTTTCAAATTGTCTATTTTTTTTCTTTTTCAAGGCTCCTTTCTCCCTCCATCTTCAGGTGCTGAGAATTTCTGCTGTTTATTTAGCTACTGGTTCTGTTTCCAGCACCATCAACGCTGTCACAGCAGAACAGGGTTTGCTGTGTTGCTGTACTTGATGTTGGCACCACCAGAGTGCTCACACAAAGAATAAACCAAAACTTTGTTTCCTTTCTTTTCCTTCTTGTCTCAGAAAGTTCTGACCTCATGTTCACCAAGACATGAGCTTTAAATGCAGAGGAAATTGGTTTAAAATTTATTTTCTTTTTAAATCCCTGATTTTTGGGGGTTTTTACCCTTTATAGCTGTTAAGGGTTTTGAAGCATGAGAGATGGCTTTGGGATGCCTGAAGTTGGCATTTAACAAAGGTCTGACCTCACACATCTTCAACCAGCTCTAGGACAGTAAATACATTAGCAGTCCAAGTGATTTCACTTCATTTTGAGAGGGAATATTTATGAAATAAAGGACTTCTAGGAGACCAGCCAGCACAGTGGACATCCCTTGGCAGATGACACCACCATCATTGAGACTGGACTTCATTAACTGTGTTGGTGGCATCTCCACTGATTTAAGGGATTCAACTTTCCCAGGTTCCAGTAGCACTGGGGCAACCCTGAACCCTGCAGTTGGCATTGGCTGCTCCAAGTGACCTATAAAGTCAACTTGGAGGGAGGGACTGGCTCCAAAGCAGCTTATCCTTCAGCCCCTCACATCACCAGATTGCTGAATTAGAACACTAATTGGATCTGATGAGTCCCATACAGCCAAACTGAAGAAAAGAGCATTAGGAGAAGGAAGGAAAAAAAATCCTTCATTAGGGCTGAGAGGTGAAGATGGAGGCAGAGAGATGGAAAACTGGGCTGTTCACCAGCTGGAGCTTTACCAAGTCAAGGGGAACAGCATGGAGGAGTATTAGGGAAGGGAAAGAAATAGCAATCAGAGTGGAGAAGGAAGTTAAGAGAGGAGCAAGAGTAAGGAAAGGAGGGAACTTGAGTCCCACCCAAGGTAACTGAAGGAGGGATGACCACAGCAGCCCCATGGTTGGAGGCTCCAGTGGAAGGAAATGGTGTAGTCTTGAGAAAGAAGCAGGACTGCAGGAGAGGTGTGAGCAGGAGAAGAGGGGATTAATGTTGATGCTGGGACAAACTTGATGTGGCAGATGATGGAGAAAGGAGGACAGCTGGGGCTCCTGCCAAAGACAAGAGGTTGTTGCCTCAACAGGGAGTTTTTCATCCATCTGGATCCTGTACAGAAGTGGGAGGGGCTGGGGCAGGAGGAAAGGACATGGATGGGGACAAGTTTGCTAGCAACAAAGACACAGCAGTGAGAGCAGACAGAAAAGGCTGCAAGGAAGCACAAGGGGCTTGGAAGGCAGCAGCTGGCAAAGACCTGGTGGTTGCCATGTAGTCCTGGGCCCAGAGGCAGGGTGGGGGGCATGGGGTGGCCTCCAGGGCACACCATGTCCTTGTCTTCACTGCACCAAAGGCTCCAGGCTGTGCCTTGGGAATGGCTGCTGCTGCTCCAATGATGTATGGGCCTGATGGAGGAATTGCTGGGCTGGGTTTCCAGTCCAAGTCATCGTACCACTCTCTTCTGGTGTCTTCAGGTATCTGGACTTGGTACCATCACGATGATGATCAGAGGGCTGGAGCACCTCTGCTAAGGAGACAGGCTGAGAGAGTTGGGGTTGTGCAGCCTGGAGAAAAGAAGGCTCCAGGGAGACCTCAGAGCACCTTCCAGTGCCTGAAGAAGACCTAAAAAAAGCTGGGAATAGGGCTTTTATAAGGGTAAGGAGTGAGAGGACAAGAGGTGATGGTTTTAAACTGGAAGAGGGGAGATTGAGATGAGATTTTAGGAAGAAATGCTTTGCTGTGAGGGAGGTGAGACCCTGGCCCAGGTTGTCCAGAGAAGCTGTGGCTGCCCCATCCCTGGCAGTGTTGAAGGGCAGGTTGGACGGGGCTTGGAGCAGCCTGGGCTGGTGGGAGGTGTCCCTGCCCATGCAGGGGGGTTGGAACTGGATGATCTGTAAGGCCTCTTCCAACCCAAACCACCCTATGGTGCTATGACAGTATGATTAGACAAGAGGTGCAGGAAGGGGAGCATTGGAGGACAGGCTTTGGAGCTGGGCATCCCTTCCTTTAATAATTTTGAGCAGCAAACTCAGGGTTATCTCCAACCCCTCCAATCTTGTGCTTTTCCTCCTGCTCCTGACTCCCTGCAACACTTCCCCTCCGAGGAACCTCCCAGCCACCCTCCATCCCTTCCCATCCCTCGCCCTACTTTGTACTGACTTCCTCCAGTTTCTAAGTGTTTCTTGACTGCCCGAAGTGGCAGAGAGTCCTGAGGGCAGTGGGTGGCCTCCTGTGCTGTCTCACAAGCTGATTATGGGCATCACACCAAATTCACAGGCTGTCAATGCAGCCGCTCCACACGGCTCGCAGACAATTATCAGGAAGAAGGAGCTGGGATTAGAAAAATCCACAGGGGCACCTCCACCTAGAGAGGAGAGTGAAAAATTGCCTCTGTGTGTGTGAGCTAAGTGTGCAATGGGAGGAGGAACAACCCATGGCTGGTGGCACCGACAGGAAGGGTAGGAGCAGGGGTGCTGCCCTGGAGTGCTGAGTGCAAGGAGGCTCCTGCTGCCCCCAAGTCAAAGCCTTGGTCCTGTCCTTCCTTAAGGGCGGGGGGGAATCAAGATCCTGTTTTCTTATTGCTCATGAATGATAGAATCCCAGACTGGTTTGTGTTGGAAGGGACCTTCAAGATCATCCAGTCCCAACCCCCCTGCATGGGCAGGGACACCTCCCAGCAGCCCAGGTTGCTCCAAGCCCCATCCAACCTGCCCTTCAACACTGCCAGGGATGGGGCAGCCACAGCTTCCCTGGGCAACCTCTCCTCCAGCTGGAAACCACACAATTCATCTAATTAACATTCTTAGATTTTCCTTCTAACTTTGGTTTGAACCCTCAAGCATCACCCAGCTTTCTTTTAAAGGACAGGGCTGGAAATGGGAGTTTTTATTATTCTCAATCTCTGTCATCAGAAGATTTTTAAACCTGTGTATGGGAGCAAACATATCCCTTGCAACTGGTCCCAGGGATCCAGTTCCCTGAGCTGTGGGAGCAGGGGTTCAAGGACAGGGATTGCCACTGCTGCCTGTGGCACAGGAATTACAAGGCTGATGTGATTTAATAGGGACAACCTCAGCCTTGGACAGTCTCCACTTCTCTGCTTCCTTAGGGGAAGAAAAAAAATCATTTTTGCAATGTCCATTTGTCCAGAAGCAGCTTCTGCTTTAAGCTGAACCCTCAGACCCATGCTGGGCTTTGCTCATTAGATTCATACACAGCTTTTTCTCTTCTGATACAGCTAAATATAAAATTCAGGAGTTACAATGTTTGTGTAACCTCTGTGCTTGAATGGGTTGAGATTCCTGCATGAATTATAATCCATGAATCCCCCGGGAACACAATCAAACATCTCAAAGACAATTGACAGTGATTCAAGGATTCAAGATGTTCTGCAGAAGCCCCACAGTAGCTACAGGAGGCCCCACAAAGCTGTATTTTCTGGGAGATAACATCAAGATGCCCCAGGATGACTGAATAAGACACTTGCATTGGAGAAGAGTGATTGCACAGAATCACAGGATGGTTTGGACTGGAAGGGACTTTCAAGCTCATGTAGTTCCAACGCCCCTGCCACGGATCTCCTACAGGGAAAGCAGGACTTAAGAGTCCTGAGGCATCTAGGTTAGAGTTTCTGAAGAGCTTCCCACATTGGTCCTGACCCTAAGTCATGCAGCTTTTGTCTCCATTTCCCAGCCATGCAACAGAGCTGAGAGAGAAGCCCAAGCTCCCAGGGGCACCCCAAAGATCTGCAGGGGCTCCCATACAGCACACTGGAGGCTGCTGCAGCACTGGCACTGCAGAACCTTCTGCACAGGGAGAGCTCTGCCCTGTGCTCCTCTCCAAGTGACGGAGCCGCATCTCACTTAAGCAGATTGTTGCTGGTGTCTTTGAACTCCAGTTGTGGATTCCTGGAGGCACCAGCCTTCAACAGGCAGGTAGGAGGGACTAACCTCCACCTTGTCTCAGCTGGTTGCAACCACAGACTCACCTAAGTCCCCTTTTTCTTTGCCCCAAGCCAGGAAGCACTTGTACACTCCATTGCTGCACAACTACTGTAGAGACAAGAGGGGTGACAAGCTGCCAGAGCCCTAACACCTCCCAGCTGCTCCAGCAGTTTGCTGGATGAAAACACATCCAAACCCACAAACCAAGATCAAGAGCACCAGGGGTCTCAAGGCCAGACTAGCAGGAGTGCTTTTTACCCTTGCATTTTTCCAAGGCAAAAAAAAAAAGTATCATGTGATACCTCAGCAAACCTGATTAGGTCTTTAAACTGTCTTGCTTCTGTCCTTTTTAGAAGGGCTTGGAGTAATAGAACAAGTGGGAATTGTTTCAGACCATTCAGAGAGGAGGTTTAAATGATATATTAGGAAGAAATTCTTCAGTGTGAGGGTGGTGAGAGCCTGGCACAGGTTGCCCAGAGAAGCTGTGGCTGCCCCATCCCTGGCAGTGTTGAAGGGCAGGTTGGATGGGGCTTGGAGCAACCTGGGCTGGTGGGAGGTGTCCCTGCCCATGCAGGGGGGTTGGGACTGGATGAGCTTTGAAGGTCCCTTCCAACTCAAACTAGTCTGGGATTCTATGGTTCCACACTCTCACCGTTGTGAAAGCACCAGGTGCACACCACAGTGAGCCAGAGGACCCCTGGCCCTACTGGTGCTGGTTCCCTTCCTCCACTGGCTTGTCCAGAGTCAGGATTTAGGGTCAGGAAGCAAAGAGACACTTTTAAAATGAAAAGACCCAGATCTGACTGTGAAGAGATCCTGTAAACACCCTCCCATACACCATGACCAGCAGTAACTCCAAGGTGAGTCATTAGTAGCTGACAGCACCAAATTTATTAATGGCATTAATTAGCTGAGGGTTTAACCCAAGGTTGCCCAACAGGGTGAAGCAAAAGGAAACGTTCAGGTCCTTGGGCAGGTACATTTTAAGTGTGCAGATCACTAGGAAACACAGAGCCTGGCTGGCAGTCATGGTTACATGACATTGCATCTCTCTCTTTTACACAAAAGAAGACAAAACACCTACTTTTGTCAGAATTTAGCTCAGGTTGCTAAGTGAGAACAATGTTTTTGTTTTCCTCTGTACCCACAAGACCATAAATCCCCAACATCCACTTCATAAAAACCTTCTGGGAAGTTACAAACCCCAGTGCATTTGAAAGGGAAAGGAAGGAGCCTGGTTAATTTAGTAATTGGGACAAACCCCACCATCCCTCCACTTAAGAGATGCCCAAGCCCACCCATGTGGTTTTGCTTCCCCCTTCATAGGGGCAGAATCAAATCCCTATCACAAGGGGGAAGCCCAGCACTGTTGGAGAGGTTTAGGTTGGATCTTGGGAACAATTCCTTCCCCAAAAGGGCTGTCAGGCCCTGGCCCAGGCTGCCCAGGGCAGGGGGGGAGTTCACATCCCTGGAGGGGTTTCCAAGCCCTGTAGATGTGGTGCTGAGGGACATGGGGCAGTGGTGGCCTTGGCAGGGCTGGGTTATTATTTGGATCTGATGATCTGAAAGGCCTTTTCCAACCAAAACAATTCTATGATTCTATGATCGTGTCTTGGCAGTCATGAGAGACATTCCCTGGGTAAGTTACACACTCCTATAGATGTAAACACATTCTGTTTGTGTTTTACAACTAATTAGAGCCCATCCTGTCTGCAGGGGAGGACAACCCAGCAGTACCAATGTACATGGCACCTCCAGGGTACACGGACTGGACAACAGATGGACAAGGAGCTAATGACCTGGGCACATCAGATCCCCCTTGGAGAGTCTGCAGGGGTCTTCAAGATCATGAAGAGCAAGATTTGGAGCTGGGCTTGGCAGAATTTGAAATTGTGGTTGTGGAAGGCAAAAACCTGGTGTATAAAGCTCTGATCCAAAGACTGTGGAAACCAAGGGCAGAAACAGCAGCGCTGTGAGATGCTTCAAGGAGGGCGTATGGAGAAACCAAACAACTCCAGTCTACTGGTCTCAGCACCAGTGACAACCCAGAAACCAGAGAGCAGCTCCTCACAGCCCTTATCTTGTCTGGTTTAATTTATGGATAACTAATTGCAGCCACAAGAATCACTCCTGACCTCAGACCAGAGCTCCAGTCTAAGGCCACAGCACCCCAGAGCTGAACAGGATGCAAAAGGCATCAGCAATGCAGCAACAAACCCAGTTTGGATCTGAAAGCAAGAAACCTACTTATAAAAAATGTTGGAAAGGGTTTCTTTATCATTACCAACCCTCTGATCAGTATAGCTCTTGGCACTGGAATATTTGGGGGGGGGGGAAAAACCCCAAACATTTAAAATATGCTTGGTCTTTCTCAAGTCTTTTTTACTACTCTCTGCCTTTGTTTGCCTTGCTTAGGAAAACCAGCTGGTATTAATTGTGCTTCGTACACCACCAGCATGAACAGCAGCCAGATATCAGCAAATACAGCCTAATCCCAGGAATCCAACTCGATTGTTTTTTTAAAAAAGACAACAAAAAACCCACCAAAAAACCTCCCAACAAACCCCCGACACAATTAGAGCTCAGTGTCGAGAGAAGCAGCAAAACGAGAGCAAACAAAAGACAAGGCAGGAAGGAGGCTGGTGGATGGAGAACGTGATAAAAATAAACCACAACCACAGAAGGAGAAAGAGAAATCTAGGTTACTTCGTGGCAAACAGGCTCCTCGAAACACATTTGCTGCTGCAAGCGGAGCCGGGAGACGTCGCGGAGCCAACAGCCCCGGCACGTGCCCCGTGGCAGGGACTGTGCTGAAGTGTCAGGTGAGAAGCCAGAGATAGGAGAGATCTGGCACAGAATCACAGAGTGCTGGGGGTTGGAAGGAACCTCTGGAGATCATCTAGTCCAGCCCCTCTGCTAGAGCAGGATCCCCTAGAGCAGACCCCACAGGAACATGACCAGGCAGGTTTGGAATGTCTCCAGGGATGGAGACTCCACAACCTCCCTGGGCAGCCTGTCCCAGGGCTCTGGTACCCTCACAATAAAAAAGTTTTCCTCATGTTTCAGTTCTATAGAGGTAAATAGGTTCTGAGGTTTAGATTTGTCCGGTAGTAACTAATAAAGCTTTGGATAATGGAACAGGTAGTAATGAAATCCAGCTGCCTCATCACTTCTTCAAGATGGCACTGACAAATTCTGAGTTTTACAACAAGTGCAGTAAACAAAACCAAAGTGAACACTCTTGGCAGTCGGTGCCAATCATGCAAACATTTGTGTGGTGTGTTCTTTTTGGGCCAACATCCAAGGTTGGTTTTTACCACTTTAGTTTTGGATTCTTGTGGCTGAATGACTGGGTGTTGTTAATTGTCATGGTGTGTACATCATCTCACCTTGCAGAAGAGTGAGAAGTTGCCCAAGGGAAAGAAGGGGAAAGCTGATGCTGGCAAGGAGGGAAACAACCCTGCAGAAAATGGAGATGCCAAAACAGACCAGGTAAAACAGCAGCTTGTCTTAGTCAGCAAATAATCTTTTTTCCATATCAAACAGGCGGGTCTAGGCTTGTGCTCTGAACACACTCTTCTTAATGCACCCCATGATAGCATTGGCCTCTTGGCTTCCAGGGCACATTGTTGGCTCATGAACACATGTTGGCTCATCTTGGCCTTTTCACCTCTTTCCTCACACTCAGTCTTAAACCAATCCCTTCTGATGTCTTTGCTGGCCTTGTTTCTAGCGAGACCTTCACCCCAGTGCTGCAAGGCAGGAGAGAAAATTCAGGACCCAGCAAGGGTCTCCTTGCCCACAGCCATGCTGTGAACTGTGTTGAGCTGGGAAAAATATGGAACTACTCAAAAATATTGAAAAAAGGAATATTAATTCCTCCAAAAACTCATCCTGAAGGGCTGCAAATCAGGAGTCCTAGGTGTGGGACCAGATCTGAGAGCAGCATTGCTTCTCTCTGCTGGCAATTCGTAGAATCATGGAATGGTTTGGGTTGAAAGGCACGTTCAAGATCATCCAGTCCCAACCCCCCTGCATGGGCAGGGACACCTCCCACCAGCCCAGGCTGCTCCAAGCCCCATCCAACCTGCCCTTCAACACTGCCAGGGATGGGGCAGCCACAGCTTCCCTGGGCAACCTGGGCCAGGGTCTCACCTCCCTCACAGCAAAGAGTTTCCTCCTCATGTCTCACCTAAATCTCCCCTCCTCAAGCTTTACTCCACCACCCCTTGTCCTCTCACCCTTTGCCCTTTACCCCTCTCTCTAAACCAGGAAAACAACCCTGTTATTTGCAAAGATGTGCTAAGACTCCCAGCTCAACGACCAGCAGCACAAAGCCAAAATCTGCTCCTCCCTCGGTGCGAGGCAGCAATTTGTTTGTCCCCCTTGTTAGAGGAAGGCAGGGAGGGTGAGGAGGATGGGAAGCACAATCACAAGTCAACTGCTGTGTCATTTCACGAGCCCTCTGGCCCTGTCCATGCCAACCGCGGCCACGGAAGGGCTGCTGTTAATTACTGTGGGGGCTCAGCAGCCCCACTGGGGGCAGTGGCACCTGTTTGCAGGTCATCTGGTCCTAACAGGCTCACCCTGGGAGGTGGTTTGCTGCTAACTGACAGCAGAGACCAGTTAATGAGGGCTCAGGCCCTTGCAAGCCAACCTAAGGAACCTCGGGGCTATTTCTTTTTATTATTTGTCATCATCATTTAAAAAAACAAACAAACAACAAACAAACAATCAAAACAAACCACAGAACTGCTCAAGGAGATGCTGGTTATTCATCCAGGTATTTACAATAATAAAAATCATTCCCTGCTCTGCAGGGTTTTCTCTTGGCTGCTCTGCTGGGGATGGTCAGGACACATAGGCTGGACTTGATGATCTTAGAGATCAGGCTTAGGGAAACCTGGTCTGGTGGGAGGTGCCCCTGCCCATGCAGGGAGGTTGGAACCAAATTATCTTTAAAGTTCCTCCCAACCCAAACCAGTCTGGGATTCTATGAAACCTGGCAGCTGCAGAACACAGCTGTGCTTCATGCAGAATTTCTGCTGTCCACGGTGGACATGATGTGTCAAACCCCTGCCAGTTCCTGGCCAGGAGCTCCTGCCTCCATGGTTCTCCTAACAATCTGTAGCCAGCTCTAGACAATCATGCTGCTTTGTAAGGAAATCTAAACAAGCCCATGTAGCTTTTCCCAGAATGTTCCCCCTTTTGGGGAACCTGAGGACAAACAGCTTGGTGAGCAGGAGAAGCAGTGACCTTCTCCCATGGCCCATTCTGTGTGCAGAAATAATGCCTGGAAAAGGATGTCTGTGTCTTGAGAATAAGGAAAAAAGAATCTTGGTTGAAGGGAAAAGAAAATAAAACCTGCTGCAGGATCCTTAACATTCCAGAAGCAAAGGGACAAGCAGGCGTTTCAGAGGCTTGTTTGAAAACCCAACATAAGAAATAATTTCCATAAGCTGATCCTGAAAAATGTACCTGTCTCCTTAGGAATTAGCTGACCCTGCTAAAGATGTCAACTTGTGCTTTTGGGGAACCTGAGCATTCCAGGCGTGAACTCTGCACCACAAGACCACTTCAGCAGTGCCAAAAGCTGCAGAGATGATTTGAAGAGCATTTCCAGCTTGAAAGATGCCATTTCAAGCACTGTGCTTCTTTCAAGTCAAGGTGCTGACCCACCAGGAGAACATCTCCCAGAGCCTCTCAGGAAGTCACACCATGGGGCCTCAGAGTCACTCTTTCAACTTGGACCATTCACATGGACCATTCACTTGGCTCATTCACCATAAGCATGTGGATAATCTGAGCTCACTCAGCAGCAAAGCCACAGTGCAGACCCACCACGTGCTGGAAGCCACCAGTGGGAGAAGTTCCCTTCCCTTCAGAAGTCTGGGCGTGCACAGACAGAGTTAAACCTCACAGTCGAAATATTTTCTGGTTATGTTGACTGAATTCTGTCAATTAAAAGCTAAACATGCTTGGCAATTCAAACAAACATCTCAGAAGCTGCAGCACTACTGCAAAGGAGCAGTGACTCGAGTACATCGATAGAAAGCGTTACCCACTGCTATTGAGACAGCACTTATGACAGCTCCCAAGTAGCCCTGGATGAACTTGGACGTCGGAGAAGGCTTTGGAAAGAAAAACAAAACATATTTTCAATAAACAAACTTCTGGTTATTCAACCCTAACTGAGCTGTTTGGGTTGCTTTTTGGGCTGTGTTTTCTTTGTTGTTGTTCGTTTTGTTCTCGGTTTATTTGTTTCAAAGCGGAGACAGGTTTAATTTTGTCACGTTGTTCTGTGACACATGGTCTGTCATCTAGAAGTGGCAAAAGCAGGGAAGGGTGTAGCCTCGTGGGCAAGGTTAGAGGGAATGGGAAATTAATTGGCATCAGAAAATTATAATAATAGCAGCTTCAAGAAACTATGTGAATGAAACTCGGCAAACGGTACAAAATTAGCATCCTGGTACACCAGTGATGAACCCCAAACTGTCCACATTCAATACCTGTCTTTGAAATATTATCTGGGTGGTTTCCAACCCAGCTTCCCATCTTGAGCTTCCCACATCCTGACACGGGATGCATGAAGGCTGAAGGGAGGGAAGAGAGCAGGAACAGCCCCGCCACTTCCCGGCACCACTCAGGAGACAGCAGCACCATCATGGAGCCACCTTCTGCTCTCCAAAAACCCAGATACCATTTTGCTCTGTGCTCATTTGCATATCAAATGAAACCACTTCATACCAGACAGAACCACCCACTGGTTCAGCTCAAAGGCACTGAGTGTTACTTGTGTGCCTCGAGCAACGCCGAGATCCTCGAGCCATTTACAGCTCAGGATCCAAATGGAAGCCTACAGAGGGGAATAGCCAAATTCCACACTCTGCCGAGGCTCCAGAGCTTCTATTAACAGTGAGGAGACAAGACTTATGTTTCCATGTCAAAACAGACCCAACGTGCTGCATGTGCTGCATATGTTGGGTCTCCTCACCTTTGTCGCGTTGCGGTTTGCATAGTTGACGCAGGCGTTGTGGCTCTGATTCAACCACTGAAGGGGAAACGAGAAGAGACAGGGCATAAACACCACTTCACAAAGAGGAATCACAACAACACCGAAGTTCCCTCAACCTGGGAATGCTGAGGGAAAACCTGTGGCCCTTTGGACCTGCTCACCATCTGTCACCCCCTTCCCAAGGCTCAGGCGCGCCCACGTGGATCACAGAATCATGGATCACAGAGTGCCAGGTTGGGAGGGACCTCAAGAATCAGCTGGTCCAACCTTTCTAGGCAAGATCACAGTTGAGGTGAGGTGGCCAAGCACCCTGTCAGCTCCATTGTTGGGGAACTCATCACTTCCCTGGGGAGATTATTCCCATGTCCAGCTGTTCTCATAGTGAAACCTTTTCTTCTGGTGTCCAACCTAGATCTCTCCAGGAGTAACTTGCACCCATTACCCACCATCTTCTCCATGGGACTCCATGACACCTCGGTGCTGCTGGCATTATGTCCACCAGCACCAAATCCATACTGATGTAGGAATTAGCTCTGAGCCCAGCAGCCAGTTCATCAGGCACTTATTAAGCTCCATGTTTCTCATGCAGGATGTCACAAGAGGTCCAGCTGAGGAACTGGAGATGAGAAGTTGTACCACCTTAGATGCCCCTAAACTGGCATTTCTGGGAACAACCTTTCAGAGCAGGATTTCTCACCAAAGCAGCAGCTATGGATGAGTAGCAACGTAAAGAACATGATAACTTCAATCCCCAAAACACCACGTTCCCAGTTCAGAGCGTGTCAGACCCAGACTCCTCTCCAGCTGTGGCCAGAACTGAGACATGGGAGGGAATGAAGTGGGGGTGAGAAGAGATAGAGGGAAACAAGGCCCTAAAACACAGGGGTCAGCCCAGTCATTGCCAAGTCCATGGCCCAAGAGCATGACCTCCCTGCTGACCAGCTCTCTAGCCTGGGACTTTGGACTCAGCAAACCTTGCTTTCATCACCTCTCTTGCTCTGCTGGCCACACTTCTTTTGATGCAGCCCAGGATTCATTGGCCTTCTGGGCTGCAACTGCACATTGGTGGCTCATGTCCAGCTTTTGATCCAGTAGTACTCCCAGGTCTTTTTCCACAGGGCTGCTCTCAAGTGTGTCCTCCCTCAGCCTGTACTGGTATCCCTTATCCCTCAGTGGGGTGTTTACTGTGGATGTAACTCATTCTCGTGCACACTTCCTCCCCTCACTCTTAATCCCCAGAACCCACCCGAGAGAATTCTAACTACTTGACAGGGTGTCTTCAAAACAGCAATGTGTGAGCTTCAGGGTCTACATTTTCATGGAAGCACACCCTGAGCAACCCTTTACACCTGTACAAAGTGGGTCCAGAAAACTGGTTTTGATCTCCCAGGCTATTTTGCATCTCTCTTGTCATGGCATTAATAGCTGGGAGCTGGAAAGCAAACCAGTCTCTTTATAGCCCCTTCCAGACCTACCAAGCCTTTCCCTAATTATATCCAGCCATATCATCTCCCCAAGAATTAAACCATTGCCAGTGCAGAAGAGCCACGTGCATCATCACGTGCACTATCATGAGGAAGAACTTGGCTGTGAGGGTGACAGAGCCCTGGGACAGGCTCCTCAGAGAGGCTGTGCAGTCTCCTTCTCTGGAGACTTTCAAGACCCATTTAGATGCCTTTCTGAGTGACCTGCCCTAGTTGTTTTGGTTTGTTGTTTTTTTTGGTCCTGCTCTGGCAGGGAGGTTGGACTCAATGGTCTTTGGAGGTCCCTTCCAACCCCTCATATTGTGTGATTCTGTGATCGGGTTGTTCCTGAGACACAGCTCAACTGCTCCTTCCCTTTCCATCACATTCCCCACCCAGTGTTACCTGCCAAAACACAGTGGATGCCAGCGTCTGGTTGGGCAAGAGGAGACCAACAACCTGCAAAGAGAAGAGATTATTTACTCATTAATAAAGGCACCGTTGATTTGCTCTCAGTGCTCTGCTAGGCAGGCAAACAACAAGCTTATTTCTAATGACTTGAATAAATTATCTCCATTTACAGCTTTATTTCATTACGGTTCTTGAACTTCCCTTCAGCCCATCGTGTCCCAGTTTCCCACTGGTGAAACTGGTGATGTAGCTGCCTGTGAAGGCTTTGCCTCTTTAATTCTTGCCTGCAGCACACCTTGAGAAGAGCCCAGCAGCAGGTTCTGCCCATTAAAACAGAATCAATCCCTTAATCCAGGTACTTCTGGAGGGTAACACAAACACTGCACGACTGCAAGAGTTCAAATTGTGACTACTGGCACTGAAGAGGGGTTTTCTTATTTTCCTTTGGCACGTTTTGCTGTTTCAAGCACAAGAAAGAGATTCGATTTGAACATCTGAAGACAGGAGTGCCACCTGGAAGCACATGTGCTCCTGTTTGGGAGCCTGAATTTTGTTTGAAGAGAAGAGAATTGTTGATGTCTCATACTCGGAGCTGCGAAAAGTCCTGCTTGTGTTGATTGCTGTCTCCCAGAGGCTATGGCTGCCCATCCCAGCACATCTGTCCAGATGTTGCCTGCTGCTGCCTGACTGACAGATGACACAGTTTTATGGCAACCTTTCCTCTGCAACCATGAGAAGTGGAAGAAGAGGAAAGGGATGCAAAACAAGGGGATTCTCAATGATAAACCCACCAAACATGGGCAGGAAGACAAGTTGTTGGGTAAGAAATGGGTAAGATGAGATACTTCCTAATGTCACTGTAGTTTTCTTCCCTCCTGCACCTTAAATGTCTGATGGTGTCTGATGAAGATGGTCTTCTTGTCACAAAATCCCACTTGCATCTTTGTTAAGAGTACAAAGACTGAACAACTCCTTTCAAAACCAAACACACTTCTTCTCAGGACACTCACATGAACTGAAACATCTCTGAGGCATCAGGGTGAGAAGGTTGTGAGCTCATTCATGAACCCAGACCATCCTCTGCACCATTTTCCTGCCGTTTATTCCTAAGAAGCTGAGAAGAAAGCAAACTTCCCCACCAGAGCAGGGAAGGGAGAAGCTAAACCCATCCCTGCACATCTGCAGCAGCAGCAGTTGAAGAGGAGGCAACTTCCACGCTTGAGGACAGGAGAGACAAACAACAACAAACAAAAGGGTAATAGGGTTGGGAGGCCTGATTTCATTGCCATCTTCGTTCCTTCCTCCTCCTCCTCCTCTTCTTCCCTCCTCCAGCTTTTCCTCCTACAGCCCTTCGTGAAGTTGCAGTGACTTTGCTGGCTGGCCGAGCGCCAGGCTGCGCAAGTGACACCGATTTTCCCACTCCTGCTCAATCTGCAGAGCTCATCATTAATTGCTCCCCATCGCCAAACGAATTCAACAGGCGATGAACCCTCCTCAGCCCCCAAAGCTGACTTCTAATCCCTGAAGCCAAAGGGGCTAAATGAGGCTCTGGAGGAGAGGGAAGCCTGTAGGCAGCTCCTTACATTGTCAGCCTGGAGCTCGAAGCGCCCGAGGAGAAGAAAAGAGGAAAATAAATAAATAAGAAAAAAGAGCACCCAAAATCTGTATGACTGAAAGAGGCACGTTTAAATGCAAACTCTCCATATGTGCAAGAGTCTGTCAAGAAATGTACAGTTTCACTTTTAATTACTGTCGGGGAGGGGGGGCAGAAAATAACTAAGAAGGAAAACAATTTTACTTCTTTTAAAGAGAAGCTTTTCAAAGCTAGAAAAGTACCAGCTACAAACATTCAATTGCCTGATCAGGTGCAAATGGCCCTTTGTGGCCCCAAAGCCAGGGCTAAAGCCACCCCTTGGTCATCTGTCAGCCCCGAGCAGCCTCGTGGCACAGTTGCATCTCCTCTTGCAAGCCCCAAGTCCTGCCTTCTGTGCCAGCAGGAGTCATCTGTGACCCCCTGTTAACACCCGGGTCTTCCTGATATCCTTTGAAACCTCAGCAAGACCCTCCTCATTTTTAAATTGCTGAAGAAAATAAGGTGCTTAAAGCTGTGGGTGGCAGCTGGGAACAGCAGCAGGACTTCTGCTCCATCCTCACCACCCAGTCTTGGGCTGAATTTGCCACATGGAGATAATTCTCCTTCTGGGAACATTTAATGTCGGGGATGAAACACAAATCCAAGGTAAAAGGCAACAGCCCCCCAGTCACCATGCACATCTCACCCCAACAGCAAAGGGAGATAATGGGATGGACTTCTGACCAGGGCATGGAGGGATTGGAGAAGGTGGAATGGCTTTGAACTGGAAGAGGGGATGTTTAGCTTAAACATTAGGAAGAAATTCTTTGCTGTGAGGGTGGTGAGACCCTGGCCCAGTTTGCCCAGGGAAGCTGTGGCTGCCCCATCCCTGGCAGTGTTGAAGGGCAGGTTGGATGGGGCTTGGAGCAGCCTGGGCTGGTGGGAGGTGTCCCTGCCCATGCAGAGGGGTTGGAACTGGATGGTCTTGAAGGTGCCTTCCAATCCAAACCAGTCTGAGTCTATGATAATGTAAGCAGCTGGATTTGCTCCCCCCTGGGCTGCAATTTCGGTGGGCAAACACAAACTCTCCCAACACTTCCAGACCCTCCCTGCCCTGCCCCTGCAACCAACTCTGGGGTGGAACCATCAACCCGAGCACAGAAGAGACAGAAGTTAAAAAGAAAAGCAATCAGTTGCAACTTGGGGAAATAATAAAGAGGATTTGGTTGTGTCAGGGGAGTAGCTACTTCAGCCAGAAGAGAGATCATTATTTTCAGCAAGACCCTAATCACTTGCACAACGAGCTGAACCAAACTGAATTATTTTGCATCAGCTATAGGGGGAAAAATGTATATAAGAAGCCTTGTGAAGTGAGTGACAGGCACTAAACCTGTTACTGTAGAATCTGATCATGTTTCTGCTGGAATCTGCTGGTGCTTAATTGCACCCCACGTGCCAGGACAATGAGGGTGGCAGTGATGGCAGGGAGCTGAGGGCAAGGAGAGCCACACTTGTGCAGCCTGAGCCCATCACAGGCACCTTGAGTCTCTCTTGAGGAAATCCCATCCCCCCTATGTGAAATGCAAGACTCAAACTGTTTTTATGCTGGAGCAGGCTGCCAATTTTGTCACTAAATTTCACAGATCGATTGGCATAAATGTTACATTTTAATTTTAACATTTGAAACGTTTGGGTTTTTTTTTTTCTTTTTCTTTTTCTTTTTTTTTTCCTTTTTTTTTTTCCTTTTTTTTTAAATGACAAGAGGTTCCAGTTTATCCTTTACAGCCAGTGAAATTGGGCTCATCTGACAGCTCTCGGCTCCTCTGACAGCTCTGGATTTGGGCCGATTTTCATTGTCAATTTGATCGTTAACTCATTTTTGTTTAACCTTTTCTTTTAAAATGCCCCATAAAAAGTTGCCACCAAACCTGCAGGCACGACAACAAATAGTCCCAGCCATGATGATTTCTGCTTCCAGGGCCTGGCAGCCTCACTGTCACTCTTCAGGGAAGGATCGTTGCCTTTAAGCAAGTACCATGCCACAGTCCACTGGCTTTGGGAAGATTTAATTCAGCAGATTTTGCTCCTTCAACTATTTTAATGATCTAATAAGCTCAGCCATGAGCTGGTGGTCAGGACCAAGTCCTTTCTGGCACCAACTCTGTGCCTCAGTTTCCCCGTTCGCAAAATGAGGTTAATGATTCATTCCTCTCGCTGAAGACAAGCTGAGGTTTGGGTGTTAGGAAGACAGGTAGAATTATCTCCCTGCTGACTTTTGCTGTTGAGAGCACCCAACAAGTTGCACAGCAACAAGTACAAACTCAAAACACCCTTAGCAATAACCCCACAGAAAGCACTCACTGTTTTAATGAATCAAAACACGAGCGCACGACACCGGCCTCGCCGTGCTGCAGCTCGTCACGTTCAGAAGGAGATTCAGAAAACATGTACATGGGGAGAAAAAAAAGTGTCCAAAGCTGAAATCTTAGAGTTGCAGAAGTTGCATTTTGCAGGCAATGAGCTCATGTTGGTCTTCTCTTTCCAGAAGGGAAAGATAAAGCTGAAGATGTTGCAGGGGACTGAGTGAACGTCATGAAGTAGATAAATAACCTCAAGCATGACCATCTGTGGTCACAGGGCAGGTTTTACAAGATGAAGCCCCTGCTAACATGTGATGGGAAAGGTGGGAAGCCTGTGGGAATGTGTGATGAGGAGGTAAGGTGGAACTGGGAGAGTTCTGGGAGTGCATTTCTTGGTACTCTCAAACAAAGCGGGGAGAGATGTTCAAATACTCACGATGGGCGTTCCAAAGGGGATGTAACCTGTTGGGGAAAAAAAAAGAGAGACATGCATTTTAATATGCAGTTTTGGGATGGGAAAACATCTCACATCTGAGAGACAGCCCAGTTTTGGGTAAAAGCCACAGCTGATGGGAGCTGTGCTCACTTCCACCAGCTCGGTGCCACCACGGGGACATCTGAGGACCCACACTTGATGCACTGAGCATCAACTAGAGCAGCCTCCTGATTTTTGCCCAGTCTTCCTCCCACCCTCCATTTCCTTTCCTTGGGTTGTGCTCTAAGAGTTTCCTTGAAACTCGTAAAATCGAGAGCCCAAAGCTCACTCCAGTAAATCCAGTCTGTGCCAGTATGTGGCACTATGATTCTGTAAGGGGCTGGAGCACAAGTGTGAGCAGGAGCAGCTGAGGGAGCTGGGGGTGTCCAGCCTGGAGCAAAGGAGCTGAGGGGAGACCTGCTGGCTCTGCAGCTGCTGAGAGGAGGTTGGAGTGAGGGGGGGGGGGGCAGGCTCTTCTCCCACATAACAGGGGGTAGGACAATAGGAAATGGCCTCAAGTTGTGCCAGGGGAGGTTTAGATTGGATATTTGGAACAGTTTCTTCCCCAAAGGGCCCTGGCCTAGGCTGCCCAGGGCAGAGTTCCCATCCCTGGAGGGGTTTCCAAGCCCTGTAGATGTGGTGCTGAGGGACATGGGGCAGTGGTGGCCTTGGCAGGGCTGGGTGAAGGGTTGGACTTGATGATCTCAAGGATCTTTTCCAACCATAATTATCCCATCTATGATTAGCACTTTGGAGGGCATTGTAGTATTGAGCTGGACTGGGCAGCCAGCAAAAACTGAGACCAGCAGAAGAACAGGAGCTGCTCAGTCCAGAGCAGGAGGAGCTGGATGATGCTAACAGAGCTGACCTAGTGGCTTCCTGCCACGGAAAGGGGGAGATCCTGCCCCCCTTCCCAGGCTCAGTCACACAATCTGTTCCCTGCCTTGTGCCAGCTCTGTTGCTCATCAGACTCTCCCACAAACCTACCCTGGCTAACCCAGGAGAAAAACCCTCCAGCTTTCTGTGCCCCTTCCCCTCTCACTGAGCCTGTTCCCACCAGAACAGTGCCCTGAAGACACTCATGAAATGGTCCAACAAGGTACAGGGCCCATGCCAGTAGAGGAGCAGGACCATGCCACCATTGGTAGGACCTCCCTCTTTCACCATCTGCTTTATCAGCCTCTCCACTAGTGATTTTATACCATTTTATACTCATTTATTTCTAGGTCAGTAGGAAAACAAACATTTTATCAGCACCCTGAAGAAAGTAGATGTGCATTGTGGAGGAGAGAGGGACTATTTTAATCACAGGTGTAAGTTCAACCTCCCTATATTAGAGAGAAACCTTTACCCCAAATCTTACTGAGCACCACAAAACTCAAATGCTTCACATTTTTCCCCTGCTAAGTCTGCCAATTCTTGTGCTAATTATAATTCATCTCTCTGACTTCCACTAGAAGGTCTCAAAGCATTTTACCAACATTACTGAATTAAGCCTCATGCATCCAGTTTACAGTTGGAAAGGGCAAAGGCCTGAGAAGAAGAAAAATTCAAAAGAAAATACAGAACAAGGCAGCAAAGGGTTCTGGCTCTTCCCCCCCACCCCCCTCCACTTCTCCTTCAACTTCATCCCTCTTCAGAGAACTGGAGAACAAAACTCACCAACCCAGCTATTTTTCTCTGTGCCCAGTATTCAGATGTTCCCCTCCAAAAGATGGGAAAAGTCCTTTCTGAATTTAAATTCAAAATGTTTTAATTTATTTTCTTTTAAATTTAAATAGTTCCTTTGGGAACGGGCCAAGGCTGCACTTGGATCTTCAAGAGGTCTGCTAGTCAGCCCACACCTGAGGTAGCCATGGACCTGTGCGTGGCAGAGGGAGCAAGGAGGAGGTGATGAATTCATCATTAATCAGCCCAATTAAGCCATGGACAAGCTGAGCCTTCCTGAGCTCCCAATGCTCTGACTGTCAGGTACCACCACACACAGAGAAAATTAGGGCTCACCCCATTCCCTCCTGGAAAGTAAAACCCTAAACTGCTTTTTGGGCATCAAGCTTCCCTGCTTACTAGCAAATCCAAATGGCCACTCTAGTGATGGATACCTCAAAAACACCAGAAAAGATCTTAGACTGAGTCCATGTTCAAATACCTGAAGGAGAGGGAAACACTTAAGCACTAGATCTCCCAGAGACATTTGGGATCCTAATCCTCCTCATTTCTAAAGGGATTTCAACATTTGCATTTCTGATCCTGGTCTAGATGTTTACAACAGGCAAGTCAAAACCAGGAAAAAAACCAATGAATAAAATAGCATTTTGTATCAATTCCCAGTCCAAGGAAGGACTGTCTGAGGGGGCCACACTGTACCTGACATTCGGAAAGGCATGAAGATGGTCTCGTTCGTGTCAGGATGGATGATGGCCTGGAACAGAGGCAGTCAGCAAAGGCTGGTGAGATAACTCCAAGTAACTCCAGCAACCAGAGGGGACTTGGTGCCCCACAGACCACTCTTACTTTCCCTGGGTTAATAATTTAGAAGTAAATATTTAGCCTGAAACAGAGAAAGTGCCTCTTTCTCGGTACTAGGATGTCCCCAAAGGCCACCCACTGCTGCACCTTAACCTTGAGGTGGGAAAGCAGATTTAGGAGAGGAAAAGGGAAACCTGGATTCCGTCCCTGCCTCTTTTCAGCATCTCCACCTAGGTGCAGCTTAATGTCCTGGCTGAAACTCTGCCCTGTGAGAGCAAGAAGCTCTTGCTGTGGCAGAGAGGTGGGGAGAGCAGAGCTGCCTGTTCAGTAGGGTACAAGGGTGTTAACCACTTTATGCTACTTGTGAAGGGAATGGGTCACAGGACACCCTCTGTAAGGACTCGTGTGGCTCAGCCACAGTGGATGTGGTTTTGGGAACACTTCAGGAACATCTTCTCCATCTGCAGATACATTTGCATGAGCCTGCCTGGCCCATCATAGAAAGCCTGAAATGTTATTTCTAAGTTGGGATGAAAACATCCAGGCAAGGCCCAATCTGGTTGTTACCATAATGGTCACCCAAATAAAATCCCCTCCCAAGCTACAGGATTTGGAGTTGCCAGATAATTTAACCTTTATGTGTATCTGCAGCTTCTTAGCCAACACTGGTGCCTGTGGAAAGCCCAACCACCACGGACACCCTGAAGCTGTTTTATCAACAAACAAAGCTCACTTGGCCCATTTTTTCCAAATTTTACAATGAGCCCAGGAGGCTGCACTGGTATGAAGTGGCTGGGGATGAAAAATCACCCCCCAAGTGATCAGGGACTGTGGAGGAGGAAGGTATGACACACTTGCAAGCCTTCCCAAAGAACTGTCAAACTATTTTCAAAAGACTGGAGACAAGAAATCTTTTGACTAGACAGGAAGGAGAAAATGAAGACATCAAAATATATAAATACAGGAAAAAAAAAATCAATCAGATTCTTTGGTGACAACAGTGTTCTCTGCATTTACATTTCTGTGGCAAGACAAAACAGCAACTGGCAAAGTCAAAGAGGGAGAAGAGGACAGTATTGCTTAGCAGTGAGGAAAAAAAAAGCAGCAGTCATTGAAAACAATAATGAAAGATCAAAAAAAAGTGTATTACCTGCTTGATTTTTTGAGCACCCCACAGCTAGAAAAGGAAAAGAGAACATTTTAAAAAACGAGCAGTGAATTTTGATACCAAACCCCAAATATTCATCTTTTAGCTGCTGGAGTAAACGAAGGCGAGGGAATGCTTTAAACCAGACTCATTTTGTGCTTCCTTCTGGGATGTATTTAAAGATCCTTCACACACACACACACCCCCAGCTCCTTCAAATCCCTGAGGCCAGTATGACCAGCAAGGCAGAGGAGATATTCTTTCTGATGCTGGTAAGACAGAGGAACAACAGCCAAGCTCCACACTCTGCTCCAGGCTTTACAGAGAATTCTGTGGGTAACTCTGCTGCACGTTGAGCTCAAGGTAAATTTAGCACAGCCTTTCCTTGGACCAGCTTCCCGTGGAAATCGAGGCTGGGGAACAACAGGGAGCAAGCCCTGCAGGGAAATACAAGTGTCATCTCTTCCACTAAAATGTGGATTCAGAATAAACCACCACTGGTTTCCATTTTTCACAAGGGAAACTCACGGAAAAAAACGCTTGAGAAGTGGAAAAATCTCATTTCAACCCTCCCGAGCTCCTACTGGTATTTACTGCCTGTAATTCAACTGCATAAAAATCTCCTATCTGGCTCAGGCAGAGGAGATCCATGAGCACTGAGGAAGAAAGATCCTGCCTGAGATGCAGGTAGAGCCAATGAGAAGCTGCACAACACCAAGAGATGCTCTGGCATACACATAAACCCACAGCTTGCCCCCTGCTCAATAAAGCCAGAGGGTTTTCCTCCAGGAATCACACCTCAATGCAAATTAAAATCTAAAAAGAAAAACCACTAACAAATAAAACAATCCCTGTGTTGATGTATATCATCCTAGAGAGGGATGAAAAACCAGGGCTCCTGTAAAATATCACAACAGATCAATTGCTTTCAGTATTAAAAATTGCTGTGTTCAGCTCAAGTCTGGTTTGGACTTCCAGGCTTGGGCTGTGATCCACCTCTGCCTGGCAGCCTGTGCTTCTGTCCTTCAGGCAGGTACTGGGAGCTGCTGCAGCCACCTCTTCACCTGCACCTCATGAAAAGAAAGACATGCAAAACCCACCCGAGCCAGGAGACTGGCTGCTTCCTTGGCAAGGCGCGGTTGCCAATCTTTTAACCACCCTCGTGGCTCTTTTACATCTTTCCAATTTGTCAACATCCTCTTGCATCGAGGACGCCAGAAACGAGACAAATTATTCCAACAACAGTTGTACCAGTGCCAGAGGCAGGGTGGGCCAACCTGATAGTTCTGCTCTTGCTGTTGATAAATCCGAAGACAGTTATCGCTCTTCTTTGCTCGGGGAGCTCACGGACACCCACCAGAATATCAACCCCACCACCATGGGCAGCATACTCTGGGAGCCAGGCATTCATAATTTATTATTAATACAGCATAAATTAAGCCCTCTTCTGTCATTCCTCTTAAGCCAAAGTTTAGTGTCTTCTCCAAATAAAAATCCATGAAAACACTGTTGGAATAAGGCAGTTGTTCCACTGTAAATAGCATAAATTGACCCACAGACAGCAGCAGCCCCAGTACTTCACCCCCAGTTCAGCTTCACTCCAGAATTGAAGCTCCATGATGAACTCCACCATGAGTGATGCGTTACTGGACTATCTAGCACACATAAAATACACATCATATTCACATACATGCATCAGGTGATTCTCCCCCTCTGCTCCACCCTGGTGAGACCCCTCTGCAATGTTGTGCCCAGCTCTGGGGTCCCCAGCACAAGAAGGACATGGAACTCTTGGAGTGAGTCCAGAGGAAGCCACAAAGATGCTCAGAGGGCTGGAGCAGCTCTGCTCTGTAGACAGGCTGAGAGAGTTGGGGTGTTCAGCCTGGGGAGAAGAGAAGGCTCCAGGGAGGTCTTAGAGCACCTTAGAGCCTGAAGGGGCTCCAGGAAAGCTGGGGAGGGACTTGGGACAAGAGCAGGGAGGGATGGGATGTGGGAGAATGGTTTTAAGCTGGAAGAGGGAGATGCAGATTGGGTATTAGAAAGAAATTCTTTGCTATGTGGTGGTGAGACCCTGGCCCAGGTTGCCCAGAGAAGCTGTGGCTGCCCCATCCCTGGCAGTGTTGAAGGGCAGGTTGGATGGGGCTTGGAGCAGCCTGGGCTGGTGGGAGGTGTCCCTGCCCATGCAGGGGGGTTGGAACTAGAAGATCTGTAAGGTTCTTCCCAACCCAGTTTGAGATTCTGTGATATCCACAGAGCTCTTTCCTGAAGAAAACTTTTAAAGAAAAATCATTATTCCCTGTTCTACAGCTACAAAACAGCGGTTGAAGGATGCAAAGTGACAACCTTTGTGTCTGGCAGAGACAAGATGTGTCTGTCCTCACCACTAATAAAATCCAAAGGGTGGGAGACTCCACGACCAAGGAGCTACCAGGGCTTTTCCACACCTGCCTGCCCACCAACTCGAGGACTTCATGGGGTGGAAGTGGAAGTCCTCGAGCTGCAGGTGACTACCCAAAGCATCCCAGTAACCCTGTGGCTGCCCGGGTCTTGTGCATCTTGGATGTGAAATGGAAACCACAGGCTTTTCCTCTCTAACTGCAAGCACCGAGACTAGCAAAAAGGAAGAGGGATGGTTTCTGAGCCAGCACTATGGCTTTTTTGGTCAAATTCTCTAATTTCATTAATTGATCCCAATATTTATGCATTTTCCTGCTGCAGTGCAAATATTGTTAGAACATGCGATTTCATTACTTCTCAGAAAGAGACTTTACAAGATGCACCTGATGAGTCACCTAAAGATTCTGCCAGCTCATTTTCACTTTTTTCTCCTCTAATTCATTTTCTGTCTGCAGCATTTTCCAATAGCTCCAGTTCTCTGACGAGTCTCACCAGCTGGGGGGCTCATTTCTGAGACCAAGTCTCTATTTCTGCTGGGGATTTCATTCACACTCTCTCTGGCCATCTTGGAGAAGCAGCCAGATCCTGCTCTCATTTACACCAGCATGAAACCAAAGTATCTTCACTGGAGCACGTGGAACGACTCCAGATTCAGGCTCAATTTAAGTTAGATTTCGGCCCATCATCTCTAAATATAGTCAGCCTCTGCTGGGTGGGTCTGCTGTGATAGATCATCTTGCCTTACATCAGCTTTGCTGTCTGTTACTGGCTCAAAGACACACAGGGGTTTCGCCACCGTGAAAATCTGGGTGCAAGAACCAGATCCTACATGGATTTACAACAAAGAAACCCAAAGGGTGAGGGGGCAGGAGTGTTGGAGCACTGGTAACACATTCTGCTATCCCATGGACCAGTTTCTCCAGCCAGTGGCCACTGTAACCTTCCACCAGGACAGGTCAGGCTCTGCTTCATGAAGATGTCCTTCGTGGTTGTGGAGGAATCAGCTCCAGGACTGTTCGCTGCTTCTCCTGACACCAGCATTTCAGGACACTGGGTTTGTGGATGAGATTCCCATCCATCCTTCCCATGATTCTGCTTTTGCTACAGTTTTTTAAGGAAGGGAATACTCACCAACTTGCTCACCACCTCCAGCTGATAGCTTTGAAACCCTGAACTCAGGAACCCAACTTTTAACACGGAAACATCACCTGCTTACAACGTTTAAGGAAGGGGATCAAAAGCTGCCACAACCTAAAGAGAACCAAAGCTGTGCTAAGGAGCTAGAGACTAGAATATCTCTTGCTTGACAGGACATTCATTAGCAGCCCTTATTTAGCAGCAGAATTGTAGCTTGGAGATAGCTTTAAAATATATATATATTTATTTTAAAAATATACTCAGCCCAAATCTATTAGCCAACACCTGCCACTTCAAAACCAGCACAAGGGGTACCAGTTACTCTTAAAAGATTAACTTCCTTCCTATTAAAATCAGGAAGATTTCATGGTCATGGACTCAAAGATGGGATTTATTTTCTTTTTCCCTCTACACAAAGTTTCAGCTGGATCAGAAAACCATGCTTGCAAACTGCTCCCCCGTGTGTACAGCCAGCTCCACCCTGTGCCAGCACACTTGACTGTCTCCAGACCACCTACAACATCCCTGAGGTTGGCCTGGGGTGTCTAAAGTCAGGAGAGCACTGATGGATTCCCATCATTTACTCTCTTGCCTTGCCAGCAACCACCTCCTGACAGGCAGAGGCAGACCCAGAAGCAGACTGGACACTGGGGATCCGGAATAGATGCTCTAACATTTCCCTCCCTCAACCATGTGCCAACAGGAGTTGAGTCCCTTGCACAAACACTGAAATGACCTTAAATCATAGAATCATAGAATCCCAAATCGGTTTGGGTTGGAAGGAACCTTAAAGCTCATCCAGTCCCAACCCCCTGCAAGGGCAGGGACACCTCCCACCAGCCCAGGCTGCTCCAAGCCCCATCCAACCTGCCCTTCAACACTGCCAGGGATGGGGCAGCCTCAGCTTCCCTGGGCCAGGGTCTCACCACCCTCACAGCACAGAGTTTCTTCCTGATGTCTCACCTAAATCTCCCCTCTTCCAGTTTTAATCCACTACCCCTTGTCCTCTAGCTACAAGCCCTCGTCAAAAGTCCCTCCTTAGCTTTCCTGTAGGCTCCCTTCAATCCACAGGTGCCTGCTCTGGATGTGCCATGTCAGGAACAACTCCACAGAGAAAAGCCTTTACTGATTAACCACACATTAAACATGGACAATGACAATAATGAGAGTTATTTTCCAAGAACTAATGAGGAGTCTCATGGTAGAGGAGCCCTACATAGAAGAGAAAATACAGTTCAAGTTTGCAGTTGAAGTTCTGCAAGGACAAAGTGACCTACCTGTGTTGGACTTTGCACCAACACCACTCACACCTGTTTGCAAAACTGCCCTAGCAAAGACAAGGTTGAAAAGGAAATGCTCAAAGAATGAACATTTTTAGTTTCTTTCATCCATCCACTCATGTAGAGACAAAGCTCCATCTCAAGATCTGCTCATCCCCTTCCTATTCCACTGGGGAGGCTCTCACCCTTTCCTGCTCATGAAATCTTGATTTTAAT